GAGAAAGACTGTCTTCATGGTATTCTAACACGTCCTCTTTGGATTCGTCTTCAGAATCGAAATAGTAGGTGTCGATAAAGAGCCATGCCACCCACCTCGACCAGTCCGAACCTGCGATCACGCAGGAGACCTGGGCATCGTAGAGGTAGATTGGAGAGGCACCGCCCTGCCAATCAAGGAAAGAGACATCTTGCGAGCGTCTCAAGGGCATTCCATCACGGTCCCGGCGACAATCCGTTTGTCGAGTCTTCGAAGGCCTCAGGGCGAAGAAAGGAAGGTGAAACGCGAATTTGAGCATGGGAAATCCTTCTGTGATGGCGGCCAACTTCAAGGAGGGTTGAAAGTCTAGATAATAGTACAGTGCCCCCCGAAGAGCTGAAGCTTGGTGAGAAGAAGCAGTTTGCACCAGCGCATAGATACTGAAGCAGTCCAAGTCTGTGATGAAGACAAGGCGCCGATCTGCATCCGTCAAAACCGGTCGCTTTCTAGCCTTGGCCGGAAAAGCGTGAGGATCCGCCGAAGGGAAGCGAGGCTTTTTCAGTTCTCTGAAAAGAGCATATACCGTCAGCAGTTTACAGTGTGCCCGTGACGGATCGAGCGGGCCCTGCAAGTTCCTGTCATCGAGCCATGCTATGAGTCGCAATGATCCGTCTTGTTTGTATTTGGCTTTCCGAAGAGAATCGATGCTCATCCCAAAACAAAATTCTTCAACTCTGTCTGCTCGTGGCAGGAAACCAAGCGATTCTTCGGGCTCGCGCATAAAGATGCGGATCACATCATCGATCTCCAGTTCACCGGACTCCGCTAGGCCTTCTACATGCGATTTGTTGTCGACCCTGAGAGAGATGTTTCGGCGTTTTCGGAAGATTTCAGGCCAGCTCTTAAGCGCGGTAGCCGAAAGCGTATAACGGAGGGCTTGATCTGGATCTCTGTCACCGGATGCTCGTTGACGTTTGGCCTGAGTCTTTTCCATGAGGGCGACTAATCCTCGGCGTGTATTCGAGGAGAATAGAAGGGATGTGCAAGAGGTGCCGCGTATACAAAAGACACAAGCGGCAACAGTGGAATGTCAACACCATGGTGAAAGTTGGAGTGTCTGAGCGGTAACATGATGGGAGGCATGGTAGGGACTTTTGTAGAAAGTATACCAATGTCGATACCCCCACCACCATTCGATCTAGCGCGTGTGCCACCAGCGTGCCGCTTCATCTGTTGCAGGACTTGAGAGGCACGGATCTGCAGTCTGAGAACAATAGGTCATGAAGAGAAGAGCCCCCAAAGTAGTGCTGGTACCAAATCAAGGCATGTCAGGGGCATTGGAACCAACACAGCAAGCTGCGAACAACAAGGCGGCATCTGGGAAGGCATCAACTTTTTCCTTGGCCGACAGAGATCAAATCGCCGAACAACTTGGGCTCCAAACGTAAGCGATTGGATTTGCGCGACATGCCAGGCTGTTGAGCCACCCACGCTGAGCACGGGGGGAGAAGGGGGGGGTGTTTGTAGGATCCAGCCGATCCAGAGTGACTGATGAGTGACTGAGTGACTGAGGAGGTCGAAAGAAGGCGCAGGCAGTGCAGTGCAGCGGGGCCAACCGCAAGGTCCGCAACGGGCAGTGCGGGAGTGGCAAGTGACGCACATGACACTAGGCAGAGCAGGGAAGCCAGTGGCGGTTCCCAGCATCACCGACCGATTCAATTGTCTTGCCTTGTTGATAAACTTTACAAATCCGACGAGGTCAGCTCAGGTATCATAGCCCGTGACTCCGTGGTTGTCCGCAGCAAAGTCCCTAGATGTCTTCCATCAGCCCTCGACGCTGCGACGTATGTGTCGACAGCCCCGAGTCTTCGGGCAGCAGAGGCATCCAGGCCATGCCTACCTACCTAGCCTTGCTAGGCACGGAGTTGAGAAGCTGGACCACACAGAACGAATGCGTGTGACCACAATAGAGTGCAGGGCTGCGATTGTTGGAGGCGTTGGTAACTCTTGTCACTTGCCCAAACGCCCGGGTTCACCGACTTTTCACGTCGTGACGCCCGAACCCGTTCCGTAATCTGGTTGCCTTGTTGGCCTTTTGGTCGAAGTTAACCTAGTGTTTTCTTTGCCCAGAAGCCTGATATTGGACCTCCTTCCTCTGGAAGAATGTGCAGAGATTCCTTACGCCTTCAGTCTTACGATTGTAATGCTATCGTTCCCTCCTCCGCCTTCATACAAGCCTTGTTCAAATGCACAACCGCCTCGTAGCGGCCGCTGTGAGTAAAATAGGGCTTGCGAGATCGCTCCGGATGGGCGATATAAAAGAGAGTAAGCAACGGAGATCCTATGACGGCATCCACGGCTTCAGTATCACTCCGAGGCTATTATCATGTCACACAAGAACCGCTGAGGACAAGTCAGATGCATAGGGTGATACGCCAGGATGATCAGCAAAAGAGTAAGTAACCTCTGTCAAGAAACTCCCAATCCCGTTCACGAAACAACTATTGCTCCCAGAGAGCTCCAGCCTTCGGCCACACGAACCCCGAACCCAGATCTAAAAGGGATTGGTTGCAAGCCAAAAACTCCTGCACACGGAAACCATATGAGATAGAGCTCTGACAATCGCGCCGACGACCTTCGACCTGAGATGAAACCCAGAGGGGCAATCACCCTGCGACAGGTAGCATTCATCCTTCTCCCGCTTGTTGATTCCTTCAATAACGTAAAAGCTCCGCGGTGTCTCCCATGCTTTTGTGCCTGCACTGTTTTATCCCGAGAATACTTGCAGAGAAACGGTGAGGAGGGAGGGCGTCACCAACCAGCAAGCTGGTGGAAGGCGAGGAAAAAGAGCTGTGCAGAAATTGAAGTCGTGGGTTCGCTGCCGTTTCGATGCCGTCTATTGACGTCTATTGACAGGGCCCTTTGGGGTTATCTCTGGACAACTTTCTCGCATTTGCAGTTGCTACAACGTGTATGGTGACAATGAGGACAGTGCTGTTTCTGAATGCTGATCGGCGTCTGCCCACACCGGCAACAAGTGTACACAAACACAACACCGGTCTTTTTCTTGGTCTTTGACGGAGGCTACTTGCAACATGTCAACACAGCTCCCTAACTGACCGTGGTGATCGACACCCGTCGCATCCGGAGTGCCAACCCTTTGTACTGACCATTTTGTTTGTTTGTATAGGCAAACATACACGCAAGGTGAGTGTCTGCAGAGATATCCCAGGTCACGGTCTGGCGCATAACAGCGTTGGAGCGGGCGACGAGGAGTTCCGATCTGACCACCACCGACCGTTCACACTGATAGGAGCAAACCCCAAGAACGACGCCCAACAGTGAACAAATAAGAAGCAGACAAAACGATTGCAATCAAGAAACCACCCTATAACGCGCTGACACCTGATAAAAGACAAATTCTCAACTATTTAAGAGACGAAGATCATGTGTGTCTGGGGAAAAAAAAAATTAGTGCCACCGCAGAAAGGCGAACGGGTCCTTTGTCACCACCCCCTATTTGGCACGTTGAGCGAGCTCTCAGAAATCACCACTCCAGCCCCATTGCGGATATGTCAACTGCAGATTCGCACGATATTAAATGTTTGCTCCGGAAAAGATAACAACCACGTCTCAGAAATCGAGCGGCATTCTTCACTTGGCGACCAAACAAGCCCCTCCACAGCTAGAGAACAGGAAGTGGCTACCTCCTTTGGGAAAGATCTATAGAAAATCACGAACACTCGCAAGGGCAAATAGGTAGGTCAAGTGCAAATTCAACAAACATTAATCTAAGGCGCGAACAAATGGGGCAGATCAAGGTGTGAGTGACATCCCTGATGTTCTACTTTCGGACGACGCGACACTTCTGCAGACGCGAAACTACACAAACCATCCGGCATGTAGCCAGCCAGGGTATCTCTGGAATGCAACCGTCTCAGGTTTCCCGAGGTTGGGAACCCAGCCCTCCATCTCTCCCATTGGGAGCGCATCTGTGGTCTCAGGCTCCTCCATATGCAGAAGGCAGCGGAATGCAGATACCCGACTTAAAATGCATGCCCGAAAAGGAACGACCTTCCCGCGAGGATCCAGTCTGTCACAGAGAGGAACCTCAAATCTCCGCATTCGTGGTCGAGAAGCTGTTGAGAAACATGCACAGAGCATTTTGAATTGGTCAGCAAAATTGAAAAAGTTGATGGCTCGGTATCTTTCCAACTCGACTACGAATATATGCGACTTCTCCTCAATACATGTTGAAGCCTTTAGAACGTTTTCTAATTCACAGTAGTGAAAAATATAGCTACTACTAATGAGTTATCTAAGTATCCGGTCAGAAAATCTACTCAGACCGAGAACTTGTGTCCAATAACTGTAACATCTCTGTATAACAAACAACCTAGAAGTTAGTGGCAGGAATCAAGACGGTTACAGATCCAGCCTCATACAATAAGAGATATATGTAATACACCAATCAGAACTGGAACATATCCTCCCTTCCTCGTCGCCTGAGAACATCCTCGCCACCATCAGACAGGACCACGAGGACCTTCTTCAGGCGCTTCTCCTGCGTACCGGCAGATATGGAAGTTCCAGTCCGCTAGACATTGCCGATGACGAGGGCCGGTCCGGTGTCGCCCACCGACTGCAGCTTCCATGGCATGATGAAGAGTCGGTCATGCTGTCGCCGCGTGTCATGACACAAGGGGGACCACCGCTTTCTAAATCACCTGCTGTCCTCTTCGTCCTCCATTGCAACAGACGAGGCATGTGCACGCTTGACAAGTGGTAGTTTCCCCGGCGCAATTGTGAAACTTGCGAGATGACGATTCGCCAGCGCGAGGAGACGGTAATGTAAAAAACAAATCCTATAAACCACAAAATGACGAGCAACCCGATGAACCAAGCGAACGTTGGTTGGACATAGGGAAGGACGATCGGGTTCATCGAAAAGATGCTCATCGTGAGTCCCACAGGTGAAACATAAATCTGTGGGAATAGGACAGAAATTAGATAAATGACCCTTATGCAATTCTCATTAGAGATAAGCTTACCATCATGACCCACGAATAATTATTAGTCTCTCTTGCCTGCTGACTTTGTCTTACGCCCACTTCGACTGCGTCAAGATTGAGATGAATCGCAAGCTGGTGAGTTGTTAGCAACGAACGCGGTTGCAGTAGAGTCGGATTCTCGCACTGCGACGGAATTTCATCGTACCCTTTTAGAGAAGTATTTGCCCCGGGCAACAAGATATTCAAGCTGCTGCTTCAGCGACTTCAAGTTGCCAAAGATTGCCTCGATTTCAGCCAGGAATCTCGAATCGTTGGGCGATTGTGGCAGTCCGTGGAAGAAAGCGGCGCAATTACGCAGCCAGGTCTCGACGGCATCGACGGCATCCGTCAACCTCTCTAATAATTTCATTGACAGATCGTTCACCTGCATTACCCAATCATAACAACGTCGAAGCCTTTCGCCATGACCCCCCTCCTCCTTGGGGGAATGACAAACTGTCGATTGCGACAAGAAAAAGTCGTTGGACTAGCGAACATGTCAACCAAGGACACAACAGTAGAAAACTGATGCAGCCGGTGTGCCATGAGACTGCCGTTGACCGACTGATGATTGGCTTTTTGAGCAGAATCAATGTCGGTATACTTGCAATCATCGTCAATAGCTACCAACCGTGGCTTTCAGATTGTGATAAGATATAAGGGACCGTACCTGCTCGAAATGAGAGAAACTTTCCCTAAGATTCGTGACCACCTGCAACCATTCGCGTGTTACCTGTCGGAGTCGATGTTGGACAATGGTAAGAAAGTATTTTCGCGGATCCCAGATCGGATCGACATCTGCGTCGACATTGCCGTAGGTCAACGGATCCGCATTCATGCCGTGGTCACTCCGCTTATCCTTGTCGTATTCGAGGACAGTCTCTCTTGCTTCATCCTTACCATCGAAATAGGTGTCGGCGAAGAAATAGGCAACCCAATGCCGGTCATCTGACCCAGATATCACACACGTCAAATGAGCTTCACACAAGACCTGGGGAAGATATCCGGATTGCCGATTGAGAAATGAGACATCCACTGTGTTTCTCAACGGCCCACCGCGTGCGTATCTGCGGTGGTCTTCACAGCGAAAAGGTCTCCAAGCGTAGAATGGCATGTGGAATTCCAGCTCGAAGCACGAAGGCAGTCTTGACTATGAAATCGCCTGTTCAGTCTTTAAACAATAAAATTCTCACATTGATTAAGACTTACTGGAAAATTCACGCTCATGAGAGCTCGGCCAACAATGTGGTGGTAGAGAGCGTGACGAAGAGGCCTGGCTTGATGGTATGACGCAGTTTTCATGAGAACCGTGGCGGTCTCGGAATCCAAGTCAGTGACGAATATCAGACGCCTTGCCGCATCCGGCTCGTCTGGTGCCCACCGGAGACCTATCCTCCAGCCAGGTGCAAAGGGGCACACACCTGGCGCCCGGGAAACCCCCTGCTGCAGACGCCCCGAGAGTGATGCTCTCCTAGAGTCCCTCATGCAACAACTCAGATCGATCGTTTCTCCAGGTTCCGTGTGGTCCCCTCCGTCGGGCCTACTGTGCGCCGAGGAATCTGCTCGCGCAACCGCTGGAGAAGCTTGGAGAGAGAGGCATGGAAGGAAAGAGCAGCGAGGTCGAATTCGCTAGAACCATTAGATGAAGCTCGCCCGACGGCGAAAAAGTCGAATTAAGTAACTCACGCGTTTCGACAACTTCTCGAAGAGTCCAGCTGCCGTCAGTGGATTGCAATACACTCTTGAACCGCCCTCATAGCAGCGTTCGTCCAGCCAGGCAATATAATAAGGAGAACTACCGTCTTCCGCGTCATCAGGTCGGATGGTTCTGGAAGTGGTACCATCCAAAAAGTCTCGGATCTTCTCGACCTCAAAAAGGAAACCATCGGTTTCATCTGGATCATGCATAAAAAGATCGATCCAATCTTCATCGTCTCCGAGCCCTCGCTGGCGTTCGAGATGCGTTATGTTCTCGTTCTCGTAATCGAGGTCATCCCGAGTGCCCTGGAAATCCGAGGGCCAGGAACTAGATCAAAGAGTCAGGCCGCTGCTCCAAGCAGAAGCGCAGAGTTGCTGCTGTTCCTTTCCCCGTGGTTAACTACGCACCTCATTGTGTCAGCTGAATCTCAACGTTTTGGAGGGCGTGATACGAGTCACAGATTGTTTGATGAAGCCAGACCCTTCGGTATCTCAGGCGCTCCTAATCCACGGAACTGCGGGATGTGAGTACTTCCACATCGTGGAAGTTGACCCAAAGGCAGCCCTCCCATGGCAGCCGTTTGTTCAAGCTCGTCATTGCTGATTCAATGCTGAGGCGCAGTCTTTATACCCTGGAAGAAAGCGTGCCACAGGTGATAGGAGAATAGAAATATGCGGGCGTCTCATACTGTGATTGCCTTGCAGATAGTAGGGCAGCCGCGACAACAATGGAGTTCATGCCCAACTTGGGTCACGAGACAGAACAACGAACTCCCGGTTGAGCCTCATCAAAACCTCCCACCAATTCAGTATCTCCACGATTATAGAGCCTCCTGGAGCATGGATGAAAATAGAAATCCTACAAGTGCAGTTTTCATTCGGGCGCACTTGGACGAGGTCCAGCCAGCAATATTTCGGCATTAATCAAAGCGGTCTGTGGAAGACGGTGAGAGCACTGAGGCCGGGCGGCGGTCGATGAGACGTGGCTGCAACTCAACCGCTGGCCAAGGGAGCCTCTGTACTTTTGCCCATGGTCATTTCCAAGCTCTTTCTTTGGTACATCATGTCTTCGCAGCCGGATCACATACCCAGGGGGGTAAGAGGATGCATTGTGAGGCGTGGGTTACACCAAAATTCGGGAGGAACAGGAGCCCGAATGTACGGAACCCTCTGGGCGCTGGCAGGGACCGGATTGGCAGGAGAATGTCAAAGGGCAAAGCAATCAGATGGACTCTACAGGGGATTCCATGAGGTGAAGAGGAATGAAGCTCAGATGAAAACACCTAAAATAAATACCCCAGACAAGACTAGTCGTAAGCCATGACGGTGGAAGTCCCACATGGTGTTCCGTTCTTCTGCACCGCAGCCGCAGGCGGCGTGAACTCTGCTACGAGGTGCAGCCTACCGCTGCGCCTGCGCTTCGCTTACCGCCATGCATCACCCATCACGTTCATTTGCGACAAAGCTGTCGTTCAAATTAATGAATGTCATCGGTTCATTCGCTGCAGAAGTGGCTTGAGTATAGTCTCGGAGGGAAGCACCGAATATGAATCTCACGGACACAGGGATTGGCAACGTTCACAGACAGAGTCATGCGCAAGAATTTCTTGCAATCGCCCTCAGCCCTCCTTCGTAGTCTTGGTAGTAGTCTTTCCACTTTTCCTTCGCTTGCCCTCTCTTCGGTCACCTTTGGCGGCATGATCCTCTACAACACTATCATTCGGCAAGTCAGGTTGCCGCCGGTTCCCTCGATCTGCCAATGCGTTTCGCTCCTGCTCCATCTTCTCTTTCCCCCGCCGCCGCCGCCGCTCACGTCTTTCTTCTTTCGTTTCCACTGGCTTCGGCGTTGCCTCTTCCCCGTTATCCACTTCGACCGGCGTGTCGAGTTCAGCGGCTTCAGGCCCAACTTGTGGTTTTCGCTTCTTTTTGCTCCTCTTCTCCAACCTTGCCTGAAGATACTCGCCCACTTGCTCGAACTCCGCAACAGGATTTTGCTTTTGGCTGCGCTGACGACGCTTCTCATCCTTGTCACGTAGCGCAAAATATGCCCCAACCTCTTCAAATTCTGCCGCAGCTTCTCGCTTCTTAGATATCGTGGATCCTGTGGTATCGCCTTCTCCCTCATCAATCGCATCGCTCTTCCGCTTCTTCGCAGCTCGCTTTATATCGTCGACCTTGCCAATTGTCCCTTCCATCTCTTGTCCCTTCACGAAGAAGCTGTAAAGTCCCCCGTGTTTTCCGGCCGCATAGTCATGTGCAACTGGCGTAGCTGTGCCACTACTTCTCTCACTCTCGCTCTTGCCGACATTCCCCAGAGCACTTTCAAACCCTTTCAGCCACCACTGATTTCCAGCCTGTGGTTCATGCGCCTTCTTCCCAACGCCAAACCGCCCTTTTCTTTGCGAAATTAAGAGAGGCTTGACAAGACCGACGCCGTTATTGCCGACTTTGGCAGGGTCGTAAGCGAGTCCTCGGTGTCCTTTTTGTTTATATGGTCTTGAGTCGAGAGAGTGGCCGGGTCCTGCCCAGCCAAGAGAGAGCAGATGAGCATGAGCGTCCATAGAGGGAAGAGGTGCACAGGCCGGAGTTAGCAGAGTGGTATCATAGTCAACAAGGTTCACAAGATGTCCGCGGCTGAGAAATGCAGTATGGTTGTCTATCGATCGGGGCTGGAAATTTGGGCTGCGGAAAAACAAAAAAGTTGCGTAGGCCGCCTCGGCCCTTCCCGTGGCAACCTCGACGGGTGTCGCTGACTAATTCGTCACGTGAATAGTCTTGGCATGAATATCTCGTCTCTATTCATCCTCAACTACAATTGTCTTCTGTGTCCCTTGCCCCTTTCAGTGCGCCAACAGCTCCTTCTTTGGGGTCACCATGATCTTGACGTGGTCATCTTTGTTGTTGACTAGCTCCTCAAATCCTTTTGTTACGACGTCGTCCAATGCTATTCTTGCCGTAACCAGTTTCTCGAGTCCCTTGAATTTTCCTACTTCTCGTCAGGTACGTCTTGAGATATTTCGGGCTTTACTCTTTACCTGCCACGAATTCATCCACAGTCTGCTTGAAATCAGCTTCAGTATAGCTCATTGAAGCTCTGAAGATGATCTCCTTCAACATGAAATGCCCCATGGGCACAATGCACTGCCAAGCTTCGTCAGCTGTTTGAAAACCAAAGTGGGATAGAACGCTTTACTTCTCTCTCCCATCCAGCGACATTAACGTAAGTTCCGCCTCGTCGAAGAGCATCCATACCATCTTTCAGACCTGCCATGATTCCTGCGCAATCAAACACAATGTCCACCCCCTTAGCGTCTGTTAGTTCTCGGCATTTCTCTGCCACGTTGACCTCCCTGGGATTCAACACTACATCAACAAATTCCGCTGCCTGTTCTTGCCGCTTAATCGTTGGCTCGCTCACGATGAGCTTGTCGACTCCAGAGGCTTTTAGCACAAATATTAATGCTAACCCAACAGGTCCACCGCCAAGGACAAGTATCGTCTTGTCCACATAGTCGTCAAATCCTGACTTCTTTGTTGCATGTCTCGCTACCGTCAATGGCTCGATCAACGCGGCTTCGGACAAGGATACCGAATCAGGCAGGACATAACACATGTCCTCTTTGACTGCAACGTATTCTGAATAACCTCCCCCATCGTTTGACTGCAGGCCCAAAAATCCCCAGCTGTTGCAGATGTTGGTGTCGCCGATATTGCACGAATGACAATTGGAACAAAAGACTCGTGGATCAACCATGACAGGCTGTCCGATTTGTAACTTGCTATTTGAGCCAACCTTACTCACTCGACCACAAAATTCGTGGCCCATCGTTACAGGCAAGACTGCCCCCGTCAGTGGATGGGGTGTCTCCTTCCTAGGAATAACCGCCGGTCCTGGCGATTGTTCAGTCATGGTCTCAATTATCCGGTTGGGCACTGCGACTTACCAACTAGATACTCGTGCAAATCAGAACCACATATCCCACACCATTCGACTTCGATCAGGACTTGGTCGTCGGCGATTTGTGGGACATCAACGTCCTCAACCCGCAAATCTCGCTGCGCGTGGTATCTTGCAGCTTTCATTTTATTAAGTCGGTTTTCTTTGACTTTTCAAGGCTGAGACCTAATCGAAGCAAATCTGAAGGCGGGTTCTTATTGAGGCCGTGAGACCTTACACTTCTCATGCGCCGATACATGCAGCACAGCAACAACGAAAGCAGATACTGATCCCTGACGAAGATTCGACTGATTCAGAAATACCGAGGCAGGGTCAAACCTCTTCCCCACACTTCCCTTCACGAATTAGCATGATGAATTCTGTTTGGAACTAAGATTCTACACCGTTTGCTGCCTCTGGGCATCCTCGACTTTTGGAGTTAAACATCAGTTTCAGGCCGGTTGAGATCCGACATGATGCTTGGTAGAGTATAGGCCAGGCCTCCTAATTTTATGCGACAAAATCTTGTGGTTCATTGGGATTCGGCATATCTCTATGCGTACATTTGCAACCTGGCTGTTCAGTCTATCGTCCAAGGTACGTCCTCGTTCCTCATGTATGGTGCTAATCTCGAAGTATCTTTCATCACTTCAGCCTCCACGCGACCGTTTCCGAGGAACGACCACATATTCTTGTTGTTGTATCGAAAATCATAGTGCTCCCACCGCACGAATTTAATGGTTTTCATATAATGAAGCGCCTACTGAAGTCAGACTTTATTCTTAAGGAGACACCTTTTACTCACCGAACCTCCCCAAATCCACAGCTTACCACCAACGATGTTGTTTTTATACCAACTGCTCTTATTAGTTGACGTTCCGACCCTAATCGTGGTTGCGGACTTACCTCTTGCACTCTGTGTTCCAGACAGAGCCTTTGTGCCATTCGTCAATATGCTCATACAATTGTTTCACCGGCTCCATTTTAACTTCTAGAGCTCGAATATTTTCCTCCTGAATCCTCTTCATGCATTGCAAGATGTATTCAACTTGGACTTCATGCGATGGAAGAGCTGTGCCAGATGCCCAATTGCCTCGGACGCCATTGACAACGAAGTAGTTGGGAAATTTGGGCACTGTGAGGGCGAGGTAAACATGTGGTTCTGGGTTGAACTCATCTGCCATGCTGACACCATCCACTCCGAAGACTTTAAATGGCGGCGCAAATGCAAGGTTGAACCCCGTTGCGCAAACAAGGATATCGACTTTGTGCAGGCGACCAGCATCATCGATCAGTCCTTCGGGCACGACCTTGACAATCTCGTTATGAATTGGTGTCACATCTGTGGTTTCATTAGACAAAATCGACGTTACGTTTGGCATACTAACTTTCTTTGACCAAAGCCTCGAGATAGCCATCGCCAGGAGTTATTCTTCGGCCTGTGCAACTTGTCAATGGTCCGTCAAAAAATATCGCAATTCAACATACAGCCTGGTGCCCATGATGGAATCAACTTCTGTTTCAGTTCTTCGTGTCCTGGTCCGATGCGCCGATGCATCTCCTCTCGCATCAGCTTCTCGGCCCATTTGGATGTCTCTGATCCGGCGATGAACATGTCGAACAAATTGTTGACACTCGATTCGAGTTTTTTTCGGTATTCGAGCAAGGCTTGAGGATCTTCACGGAATTTCTTCTTGTCCTCTTCGGTGTACCAATATTGTGCCTGAGGTGCCTGTTTTTGATTGGCGTCCGAAGAATGACTTTTGTCCTCTTGAAGAACCTGGCCGCCAACGGGTGGAGAAATCCATGTTACAGATCTCATGAATGTTATCAGGTGTTTCGCTTTCTTCTGGACCTGTGGCACGATTTGAATGGCAGACGACCCGGTTCCAATTACAGCGACTGTCTTGTCGGTATAATCAACCGCTGGCAGTTGTTAGTCATGATAGGTTCAGCGGCCAATGCAAAGCCTACATGTGTCCCAATTTGCGCTATGAAGAAGTTTTCCCTCGAAGTCATGCAGTCCTTCAATCTTCGGCCCTGCTAAGATGTCAATATCTCACAGCTGTTCGGAAACAGGCAGCCTAACACTTCCAGTCGTTGAGGAAACCAGTGCCGTTTATGATGACATGACACCAATCATTGATCCTGCGACCCTCAATGTCAACCTCAACCTCATCTAACGAAGGTCAGTTCATGCAGCAGCACCATAGTTTCATCTAGACTAACATATGCCTTTCTCCTCCACCCAAGTTGCAGATAGGACCCTGGAATTGAGTTTTATGAAGGGGTGGAGATCGTATTTATCGGCAAACTTCTCGAAATACTGCTTAATCTCTGGCGCATATGCATAGAAACTGGACCACTCTGGATTCGGCTCAAATGAAAAGGTATACGCGTGTGCGGGAACATCACAAGCACAGCCTGGATAACGATTCTCAAACCACGTTCCTCCAATTCCGGAGTTCCTTCAACGCGGTCAGTAGACACCATCACGAGTAAGGAAAAGCGAGCACAAACTTCTCGTAACAGACGAGTTCGTAATTCTTGATATCCTTCTTCATCTTGTACGCCACCAACAGGCCCGCAGCGCCGGCGCCAACGCAAATAACCCGAATGTAATTCGGTTTCGAATGCCATTTCGGCTCAACTTTATAACCGAGTTCATTCACCATATTGAACAGAAAGCAATATTGGATCGAATAATGGCGACGTCTGCAAGAAAGGGCAACAACCCAGATTAATCCAAACAACCATCCGCGCTCGCTTCTCTATATGGGCTTCGGTAAATGGTCCTAAGTGGCATCCATTGGATCCATCTTCCTTTCAGCTTGATTGCCCCGCACAAGTCACAGAGCACCCAAGAGCATAGTCCTGCGCCTGCTCAAAAAGCTGCTCTGATTCAGCATTTTCTGACAGATCATCACTCCACGCCACTGGAACGAGTTTGCCGGTGTGCCGCTTCGTTCAATCACATGCTTGATGGAAACCCATTGGGGGAGAACGCAGGTACTCACTGACATGGCTTTCTGCGACACACACGAGGTCCTTTCCGAGGTTCCAGGAGTACTTGGGATTGAAAAGTGTCGTGGGGACGAACAAAGTGGGACATCCTCATCATGGATGTGGAGAAAGCGGGGGACATAATATCATGAGCAGCAAGGCTGTGCCCAATCTACCGAACCTAGGTAAAAGTGTCGTTGGAGACGTGTGGCAGCTGCTGTTTGGTCCCGCCGTGATTGAGCGGGTGAGTGCGATGCCGACAAGGACAATGAGAAGTGCTAGTAGCTAGCTCGTTGACGAAATTCGTGCAACCTCTGTAGATCAACGACATAAATTATTGGAGCCTTGCACTTTCTAGAAGCATTTCGATCTTCGCTGGACACAATTCTCTGACTTTAACCGCTCCATCCCCGAGGCTCGGCAAAATGGTCTTTCGTTCGGGACCTGTTGCTCCTGGCATCGCATTTGTTACTGGCGGTGCACGCGGGTTAGGGAACGCCATTGGTGTATCATTTGCAAAGGAAGGTGCCAGGGGCGTGTGCCTGGTTGATATCCAGGATGAAGCAACGTTCGAGGAGGGCAAGAAAGCGGTTGAGAAATACGGTGCCAAGGTAGGCTGCTGTGAAGGTCAAAAAAGTCATGCAGCTCAAAAGCATCGTGACGGCTCCAAGTCAACGCTGATGATCTCCTTACCCACGCCATAGGTTCTATGCATCCGCGCCGACGTGACCAGGGAGGAGGACGTAGAGCGAGCGGTCAACGAAGCAGTCAAAGAATTCGGACGCATCGACTATGCAGCGTCAGTACATTTTGTCATTTGTACCATGACTCCGCCCATGGAAGTTGAACCTACGGAGCATTACTGAGAGAGTCACCAGGAATTTTGCAGGTATTATCGGGCCCCTGGGTGAGACGTGGGACACCGACACGGATCAATGGAGACGGGTTATCGAAGTTAACACAGTCGGAGTGTGGCTTTGCAACAAGTACGAGCTGAAGCAGATGATGAAGCAGGATTCGATCGAAGTGTAAGTGGAAGGGTGCAGTCTGCAGGGAAAAGGAAAATCTCGTCCAAGGCTGAGGCATTATGTGTGTGCAGCGAGGAGGGCCGACCTCGTCAGCGAGGCTCGATCGTCAACTGCGCATCCGTCAACTCTATCCAGGCCGGTGCTGGTACCACGGGATACACCGCGTCGAAACATGCCGTGGCCGGCCTCACAAAAGCAGTAAGCAAATCCCCGTCCCCCCTGGACTTCAATCCGGATCACCGCGTGTTCCTTCCCTCGCTTTATCCTCATCATCATAACACCTTCTTTCCATCCCAGGCCGCCCTTGAAGCCCGCCGCCACGATATCCGCATCAACGCCGTCTCGCCCGGCTTCCTTCTGACCAAGCTCCTCGACCCCTTCATGAAGCAGGGAAACGGCGAGCTCGCGGCCAAGGCGTGGGAGGAATACGAAGCCAGACAGGGCCGCAAGGCCACCTTTGACGAGATCGGCGACGTCGTCGTGCTCCTGAGCACCCCGCGTATGAGTCTGGTGGTGGGCCATAACCTTGTCATCGATGGGTATGTTACAAGTGGCGCTTGATGTTTTGGGTTGTTTTTCTTGTGGAGTTTTTTTTTTCTTTTCTTTTTGCTAACTTGATGCCCCCGTCTAGAGGATTCACGATCAACGAGAATACGTACTAGACAGATCTGGGATATGTTGGTCATGCATGCATGAGCTCTTTTCGCTAGGTATCAATCATTTTGGATTTTACTTCTTCCAAATTCGCCCATCTCATGAGTCTGCCTGAACACGCATGCGCTTCCTCCTGAGCATGGCGGCATCGGCGACAGTCTTGTACATCTCTGGTCTCTTTCTCTCTCTTCAAGGTGACACTGGTTCGGGGGTTTGAGGATAGAACCAAGCTCCCGCCGCTCCCAAATTCAGATCCATTAGCAGGAGCTCAATAACGCTTTCCACCCAATCCTGCAACGATTCCCAGCCGACGATGAAGGGCGTCGTCTCCTTTGTCGTGCTGATCGCATATATTGACCGTCTCTCGAGACGTGACTGGGATCGAGGTTTCCCCTACCCGCTGCGCGCCCAGGGTTGGGCAGTCGTCAAAGGGCCACCTAACGTGACTAGGTTGACACATCAAGGGTCTTTGGCATCCATAAATCCTTCGCTTTAGATGTGTCACTGGGGGACAACTCAGGGTAGGGAGCGAGCGCACTTCGTAGACGCGAGGCATCACTGCCAGGGTGCGTGTGCGATTTTCATAGGCCGTTCTCCAGCCGCTCGCCGCTGACAGCCAGAGCAGGCATAATATGACCAGGCCCTGGATCACCTGCCCGATTCGCTTGCTTGGCTGGATCCAATCGGACGCTCATCACCCGGAAGGATATTGCAATGCACACCCCTGGGTGAAATGAATGCTGGGCCATGAGGAGGTAGAGCCCACGCTCTCCCACAAGGCGAAACTCAGGCCCGAAGGGAAGCCATGATGGTGATGATGACGGACCCCCGCCCCCCGTAATTTTCCTACATCGACCAACTAGCTTTGGGAAATTCCGTGGTCCCCTCAAAGGCGGCGATGTCGTGCTGCATCTCGGGGAACTTCTTGAAAAAGCCGGGGCGCATGGTCCAGTTCTTGAAGTTGTACGCGTACTCCAAAAAGATCTTGGACACCTCATACCGGTTTTGGACGGGGTTGTACGCGAAGATGTCGCGGTCCGAGTAGGGCCAGTAGAAGTTGAAGTTCTCGACAAACGCGGCCGAAAAGTCGCCTGTCGACGTGTATTTCTTGTGTTCGAAGACGAGGCGATCACGGAGTCCGGGCCTTTTTCAACGATTGTTAACGGATTGTTTTTTTTAAACAGCGCTGGGTACCAAGTACTCTTTTACAGAGAGTAGGATTGAGATGATAAGGACAACTTACCATATGAGAAAATCGATGACGGCTGGGTGTTGAACCTTTTCTTGGGACGGCCTAAGATAGTTGTTAGCTAGCCATTTTGACCCTTTTTGGGCGAGAAATGCTTACCTTGGCCGCAGAAACACTGGCACCCGCTCCAGGTTCTCTTTGGTTGGATTCTCTCGGTATTGGATCAGCGTTTGGCAGACGTACATCAACGCCATCCTTTGCGCTTTGGACGTCCATGTGCCAAAAACCCGCTGATCGACCTGCCGCAGTGCATTCCACACAGGGTGCTGGGCTTCCGGGCCAGCATTCTCCCAGCCCCAAGTCACTGCTTTGAAGGGTACGTGCATGTCAAGGGTGGATGTTGACGCCGTTTGATGCTTGACGCTGTCCAAGCAACTGATGAAGGCCCCGTTGGAAACGTGCCATTTGTCCACGTCAGGCGCGACCTTTACCACTGCATCCGTCGACGGAAAGCGGTAGTCGAATGGCGATGGGGTCTGGGGCTGCCACCCGCTAAAGCCCGTGGTGCCGCCCATTTCGAACATCTCGAGCAGAGAGTTCGGGTTGAAGTCGAAAAAGTCCTCGAGGCCCGCCACCGAGCCCATCGCATCCGACTGTGCCACGTCGACGTTCAGGCCAAGGCTGTGGCCATTGATAACCTCGGTGGCCTCTGAAGTGTCGGTCGAGGAGACTGAAGTGTGACGAAACGTAGTAGCCGGGTCTTCGAATGCGGCGGCCGGGGTATTCTCTGGGAACGATGTCTGATTACAGGTGCAACTGGATCCGACACTGCATCCGCAAGGCTTGGTTTCTGGTTGAGCATCACCTGAGGAATCCGTCACCAGTACAGCCTGGTCGATGACTGTTCGCATCTTAACCAAGGCATTTCGAAGGCGGTTGTTATCATTGCGGAGGTTGTCGATGATACGCGTCAGGTTGGTGATTTCGCCGTCCTTGTCGCCGGCTTCAAGGCTGCTAAGACGCTGTTCGAGATAGGCGATGCGGTTCTTGGTTCTCTCACGCGTGGCTCGTTGGGCTAAGCGGTCCTGGATCCTCTTCCTCTCCGCTCGGCTGTCGTCGGTGTCTCGCCGGCGCGACTTGGTCGATTTGGGCGTGGACGCTTCCATCATCATGACAGCGGACTTTCTTACTCAGGATGACAAGACAAGGTGCGGACACCAGCAGGGCGATTTCTGACTTGATATTGAAGAGTCAGGAAACTCGACGATGGAAAGTCGGCAAACTCGCCAAAGCCCAACCCGGAGGAGGGGGACAATACCCGAGGGCAAAGCCTTCCACCGCAAGAGGGAGGCAACCCATCAAGAGGCACCCGAGGCTCCTCGTGGGCTATGTCGCAGGGCAAGGGCCTCAAGGCGCCCAATATCCGCTTTCCCCGGTGTGGGGGAGCCTATGATTGTGTTGAGATTTGTGGCTCAACGGCCCCAGATTGCCAGGGGTGCCGAGGAGTACGTAAAAAGTCTTGGGGCCACTGAGGCTCACTCCCAACGGACCTGCAGAACGTCCGAGAGCTGCAGTATTTGGACATAAAAGGGGAGCATAAACCTCTGGCACAGGGGTCTAACAAACAGGCAATCCTTGACGCCCAGAAATCTATATCAGAAAACTACCATGGTGTGAGTAAGACCAGGGAAAGACTCCATCTCGAGAGCAGCGTGTCCCCTCTTTCCGGACGGAGGCTTAATTTCTGCCTTCGAAGCCACCGGTACTAGTGCTCCCCCAGGACCCATCCCTCGCCGTCACCCCTTATCCTGCAATCATCACCGCCCGCCGAATCTCGGGAACAGTTTGAGAGCATTTCCTCGATTGAAAGCCATGTTCAAACTGGGCTCTAAATCGGCCTGATCGAGCTCTCTCGCGAATCTGTCAATCGTTGTCCGCGGCGCGTACGGATAGTCACTGCCGTACAGAATGTGATCGGGTGTTGTATAATGCAGCAGCATCTGGATCGTCTGCTGCGACAAAGAAAAGCGCGAGGTCGACGTAGAACAACCCAATATCGTCGAGTATCTCTTCTACGGTTTGGGCGGTTAGCCCGACTTCACCCAACGATGCAGCGCGTTTGGCCAGGTATGGAAGGGTGCCCGCCGGCATGGGAAAGGATGATTTTGACGTTCTTGTAAGTTCTGCAACGGTTCGACATGACAAGGTCAATGGCCGTCCGGGTGGTCTCGTGTGGGTAATCCACGATGGGCTGCGGTAGGTTCTTTGCAATCAGATTCGTGTCGACAGGGGTGCGTCGGATGAACTAGCAGTTCCGCATTCCTGTCGTCCAGAGCCCTCCAGACTGGCTCGAAATCCGGATATCCCAGGTACATATTCGAGGACCCCTATCTTGTAATGAGCATGATGCCATCAGCTCCAAGCGTGTCGAGCGCATATTGTATCTCGTCAAGTCAGGCATGGCAGCAAAGAAACCGTACTTTGCAGGACTGTTGTCGCGCACGGACGCTAGATAATCATTCGCAGTGAGAGCAAGCTTTACAGATCCAGCTGGCCCAGCTATCGACGGCCCAGGCGACGTCAATGAGAATACCGTGGTGCTGATGCCTAAGGCATGGCAAAACTGGTTGTCGGCTTCGAGGCCCCATTGAGGAGTCCAAGAACCAGAAGGATCCCCCGCATTGCCCTCGAGTGCCTTGATTCTATGGAGCGATTAGCCTAGACCCATGACTTTGATCATTGCACTGCGAAGCATGTGGCTCACCTCCCAGGTAAAAATCAGGGACCAAATGATGGTGGACATCGAGCCTCTTTCTGATGCTTGGAGTCTCGGACGCCATTGTGACTTCTAGGGAGACTTGGATCATCAACGAGAGAGGACTCTTGATGACAGGTCTCGCATGACAGCATGTGTCCTTTGACGATTTATCTGATTCCGTAAGGTCTGGCTGCAATTCGCAAGGCTCTGGGTCTTTCCCAGAATGGCCGCCCTGCGTGACAGTGAGAGAGGACGGCATCATGAGGATCCAGGGCTTCGACGCACATTCTCTCGGATGGGATGGGCTGATGCGAGTGCCTCCTGCAAGGTTGAGATTCAACAATACCGTCCCACTCACGATCAATGCCCGTTAGCAGATGGTGGATACGGCATTTTGGCCCAAAAACAAAATCCCCGCGGTCCCTTGGGGTTGTGCTCCATGAAATCATTGCTTTGTCTTACTCGCTGGGAGGTGGCGTAGTGCTTGTGGGCTGTCATAGCTGCTCCGCGTCTTTAGGGATGTGGCAACCCTATTTCGTCAGCAGTGTGGCAATGAAAAAGCAGAGATGTCGTTGCGCCTGACCCGATGAACCGCCTCTTCGCCTGAAGAGATGGTCCTAGGCGAGCCTCGATCTGACGAGGCCATGGTCGAGATGAGGAGTTGCTGCATTGTAATATGAAATATGTCCTAATCCAGTCACATCCACTATGGCCTCGGAGCATCTGTAGCTGCCCGCATTGCCTGAGATAGAGATCCGAATACGTGGTCATTTGAAAGTTGTCCCCAGCACCTCTTGCGCCTCCTCCCTCATTTAGGTCCACGATGGTCATTTGAATATGTCAGACGGACTGAATTTCTCTGGGCTTGCGCCCTGGGCCGCAACCCCCTGACCTCCGCAATGCCTTGGGTTGGACAGCAGTTCTAGGCACCACTTGGCACCAGTGTTGAGAAAGGACTGGCTCCGAATGGGGGAAGATGGCTTCGCCCTATAAACCTCTGAAGATTCGAATCACAAACTCAAGAACGCATCCTTCCATGTTGTCGTGAGCAGCGCTGGTTCAGGGCCATTCCTTCCCATTTTCTCTCCGTACCTTGAGAAGCCAACACCTCAAGACTTTTCATCTTCGAGGCATACAGGTCACTTGCAAGTACAGGCACAAACCGGGCGCTGGGAAGGATTGCTTCACCAGCCCTAACGTCTCCACATCCAAGTCATTTCCCATCTTCGCCGCCAATAACCGCTCATCCAAAAAGTGATTGTCCCTATTTCGGTGCAGGTTATTACGAGTGCAAAACTTGACAATTGCGCCGTGGTGTCACATGGCCGTTTCTAGTGACCCTGGCTGGTCTTACGAGTACAATATATATAATAGCGGATCCTCCTCTCACCCTCCGATCGAGGAATTGATCTCTCAGAACTGGGAGCCTGGCTCAAGTTCCCTGGTTCTGCGGCGTTTTGTGTCATCTGTGATGAGGCTCTGCCAGCTGCCTGGATCTTTAAAGGCCGCTCCATTCAATGCCCGTCAGATCACTACAGCTGGAGGAGTCCTCCTTTCGAGCTTGTTTGGCTAAGTATAAATATCTCTTCTATTCTCTCCGTAAGACTGCTCACAGGGACGATACTTACCTCGGAACCGAACATTCAGCATAGATTTACCATTCGCCACTGGTAACTAATGGTTGACAGTGTTACCCACATCGTCAACAAGGGGGCATGCTCCTCCACCTCGAACCACTTGCCGTTGCTTGTGATCCATCGATTTGCCCACCTGAAGGGTGTCAAGGAGGAAGAGCGTTGGGTACTTCCGCAAGTGCTTTTTTTAGTCACTCCGCTCCGCCAAATACCATGAGGTTACAAGGGTAGGAGTTTTATTTGAAATTGATCGAGCAGAACAACCTGCCTCTGCACCCACCAACGCAAGACCGAGGCGGACAGCTGAGTGGAGTTAGACAATGTCCCTCGGGTTCCCAGCGTCCTTTTCAACCTGTGAAACACGCTCAAACACTTGCAGATACATTCACACTAGCCGCAATTTTTCAGACCAGTTCGGTGCAAACAATCGGCAATCACCAAGTTCGACATCTATTTTGGCTGGTGTAACCGCCACCATGGCTCTCTTGGAAAGGTGCATGCTCCGGCGAAAGCGGCCTGCCTTACAAGCTGGTTCACCAAACACGTTGCACATTGGCAGCTTTCTCGAGGCAGTATGGTGCGCATCCTGCCGCCGTAAATTCCCGCTCTCACGCTCTATGGCTCTTTCCCTTTGCGACGGTGAGGATTGGTCCAAGCAGAGCGGGGCTCGCAAGGATGTGGCCGGCATTCTTGGTATTAAACTGTGGCTGTCATGCCAGCGACGACTACTCACCCAGATGCGATTCAACCACGCACAGCGATATAGGAGATCGCACCTCTGCTACTTGCTAAGATCTTTCTCCACCACAGCCTACACCTTTCCGAGATTGGGGAGTTTTTCTTCTATCTCTGATTCGACGTCCAATGGTGAAGTCCCTTGCCAACCTGGACATAGGAGTAGAGGATCCGGTTTTGGCCATCAACACAGCTTCCGATCGGTCTTATTTTCTATACCCGAGTCGGCCAAGAGTGTAAGTGAACCATTTCCATTGGTCAGAGATGCACCACTGCCTTCCAGTTGTTCGTCTCCCTCGCCTGGCAGCATCATCGAATACGCGTACTTCTCCCACCCAAATGATGAAGGAATGTCACATGGACAAAACCGGATGACGCGGAATACGGCGCAGACGATGGAATTGATTTCCCAGCCATCGCGGAGTCGAAAAACACCGGTACGAAACCGCGATACCGGATCGGACTTGGAGCTTCTGCAGCCGGGGCAAACTTACCGATTTTTCCATCAGACCTTTTCTGCACCACTTGGCCAGGAACGACGCGCTACCGTTTAAACGAAGGCGGTTCTCCATCTGAAAGAGACAAGTATTGGCCATCTCTTGGACTTGTTCCACCGCTGCAGAAACTTCGCAACCCACCACAAGGATTCAAAGCTCTTCTTGGCTGGAGAATTCCCGTCGTGGATCGTTAGCGACTACGACATCAACACCGCTCCCCTTGGCAACTCCACTCGTTATAGATACTGCATCGGGCGATTTTATTGCATGTGTGCGTGCTAACGTCGGTCCAGATGCCCCCCCTCGAAAGGAAAGAAGAAGGTGACAGTCTTTGTGTGGACATGTGTAAACAATCCCCACATACCACAATATCCGGACGCTCTAAAAGTTTGTGTTAGCACCGATGTGGACACAACCCGATCTCCATCAAAGCCGGCACTTGTCCAAAATGCGCGCACAGTCGATGTCAGAACTGCAGTACCGAGAAAATTTCCAAGTGAGGAAACTGGGAGGGGCCGAGGTTCTGGGAGGCAGCAAGGCGGAACAATCATCTCTTCTTGGGTTATACGTTCCGGTCGCATTCGAGGCCGATTTTCGCGATGTGCATGGCGGCGAGCGGAGAACTTGTCAACTGGTGGGCACACTCTGGCGAGGCGGGTTGCCTTTTCCATGCGAAGGTATATGCGAGACGGGACACCGAGGCGCGCAGGGAGAGGCGGATGGGGAAACTATGGACGTGGGAGGGGGGAGGGATGGGCCATGGGTATAACAGGAAGAAAGAAGGTCGAGTCTTTGAAAGCCTGCCAAATCCTATTTTTTATGCCAGCCACGGAAATCGACTGGAGGAAGTCGAAGTTTGACAATCAGGAATATGCGCTTCAGCAATCTCCATCCCCATCTCGCAATTCCCTCTCAGAGTTCCAGGACCATTTTCACCCACCAGTCTCCCCGGGCTTCCCACTGCGAAGCCAGGGCCTCTGGGACCAGAAGTCGTCGCGGATGATATCGATGTGTTTCGTGACGACTTGTGCCTTTTTCCGGGCCTTGCGTATTTTCTCTGCTTGCGTCTTGGACACGGCGGGCTCTGGGACTGCAGAGGATCCGTCTTCATTGTCCTCGTCCACGTTGCGCTCGTGCTCGTGCTTAACTTCACCTGTCCCTCTGACATCCCCTTCTTCTCCTCCCTTCTTCAACATGTACTCTCTCAAAACGACGCTCCCTTTCTTGAACATATCCGGCTCGTCGTTGTAGTTTATCCCAAACCTCGAAAACAGGATCTCATTCTTGTCGGAGGACACGGTACCCTTTAGAAACTCCTCAGCCGCCGTGTGCGTCATGCCCCCTTGCTGGACCAGGGCCCAGAAGGTTGTGTTGTAGAGGTTGTTGATGTGGCCTAGATTTATACCTATTTACATATATGCGACGATCAAAGGGAGGGGCTAAACGGATAGGAAAGGGTAGGGAAGGGGGATGGGATGGATGGATGAATGGATGGATAAGCCTTGACTTACAATCAACCTGTCTCCAGCTCAAATAGTCCCGCAAATTGCCCCAGGAGGGATAACAGACGGCCCTGCCGTCAAAGGTCGGCAACATGTCCATGCTCAGCATTTTGCTCTTCTGAGCGGCAGCTGGCCGCGCACTCTCGTCTTTCTCCTCTCCCTCCTCCTGCTGCTTTGCTCCCTCCTTCACTCCCTCCTGCTCTGGACAAAAGAACAAATCCCACCCCAGCACATACGCTGCGGTAAAAGTGCTCACGACCGTGGAGACGATCTTGTCCCTGCGGCGCTCAAACAGCGTCGCCGACCGGTGGAATACGAAGCTGTACTCGTCCGACACGCCGTACGCGAGGACGATCTCGGGCATGGACGCGACGACGTGCTTCGCCGCGTGGTTCATCAGACGCAATGCGCGGGCGTCGTTCGGTTTGGTGAAGTCGTAGTGCTTGGAGAGTCTGCCACCCTTTGGAATCCGTTTCCGTTTCCATCGGTCAGATATCAGTCAGGTCAGGCAATCAGGATCTATTTGAGTCCGGGTGGAGGGAGCCCCTGTAGGAAATAAATAACAGGCATAAAAGGCAGGCAGACAGACGGCGCTAAAGGAATTCGATCTGAATGTGTTGTGTGTCCTGGCGGGCACAATTGGATTGATCGCCGGTTCGTACTCCGTTTTTCTTTCCTTTTTCCTTTTCTCAATCTCTCTCCCCTGCTTTTCTCATATCAAACCCCCTTCGACTCTTGACAAAGCGACGCCAGATGGGACAAACAGAGACACATTACATTACATACCTGTGGAATCCCCGTCCGTCGATCCTCACCACAATCCACGTGTTCGGCAGCAGCGTCTCCTCGCGCTCGAAGCTGCGCACATATTCATACCTAGCGCGACGACCGCGGGTCAGACACTCTCCGTCAGCCACATGTGACGACGTCGGTCAGAAGAAAACTATCAGGTCGGACAAACTTTGAATTAGCCATGGGGAGAACGCATGTAGTATGCCTCGATTTAGCTCGTTCCTTCCAAATCGTCGACTTGGGGAAAGGGTGGTGGGGGGGTTGACTTCTGGAAGAAGAATTACGAGTTCAAAGGGGGAAATCTAGGTACGAACCAAAAGTGGTGGAGTGAGGTTATTCGAAGACTACCAAATGGGTCACTGGCACCCAAAGCGTTCGATTGCTTCCAAGTCGCCAGATGGATGAACAACTGTTTTGGAATACTTCTCTTGCTGAGATTATAGCTCATACGCGAATGCTTCAAAGCAGCCCTCCTCTTGTTATGCCTGTTCATCCTCTTCTCTCTCCTCCACCTCCTCGGCCTCACTTGCCCGCTCGCTGCTCTCGCTGATCTCGCTTGCTGTCAGGTCCTCCTTCAGCCCTTTTTTGTTCTTGCGCATGAAATTCCAGTTGCTCAGACTCGTTCTACTCGTCTTCTTCTCCTCCGCGCTCGGGGTCGTCGAGGTGCTTTCCAAACTCCTCCCAAGATGTTCCGTTGACCCTTGTTCCTCTTCGTTCTCCCCGTTTGGGGCAGATGCCTCCTTTCTAGAGAACAAGCCGCCTTTATCCTTCCAGCTTCCAAACTTATTGCTGCTGGCTTTGCGCGTGATTTTGGAGATGAATGTCGGTTTGGCCGGGGTGTTCTCAACGGACAAGTGAGCGCTAGTCCCAGACTGCGTTCTATCAAGCGTATCAGACTCGAGGGTGGAGACGGTCGCTGCGATGGAGTTGGTATCCTTTGACTTTCGCGACTCAGGGGGTGAGCCTGCTTCTATGTCGTTCACCTTCTCTTTCGACTCTTTCGCCTTATTTTTGTCCTTATCCTTGGATTTCTCACTCCGCCTGCTAAAGAGTGTGGTGAATGATGGAGCAGCTGGGTTCAGTTTCGGAGTCGAGGATTGTTGAGAAGACGCTGGCCGCGTGCCAATGGGCGCCTGGAGAGGACGAGTTGGTTTCCGATCCGGCTCAACCACTTCCTCGTCCCCATGCGGAAGAGAGAGATTGCTGGTCGATCCGTAAACAATAGAAGGGCGCCGTGAGTGGCTACGAGAAAAAGAATGGAGTGAGCCCCAGTCTGGAGCCAACGGACTGTTTCGCAGCGCCGATTTGTCATTCCACGCGCGGAACTGGCTCTCCATCGACGGTCGCGGCATTTTGTCGAAGGAATAAGTCGACGACGGCCGTGGAGATGAAGTGTCACCGCGAAGTCCTGGGTCGAAGGATGCCGACCTCATGGCAAAAGGATCATAGTTCGCTGAAGCGGCAGTCGACTTTCCAAATCCGCCCAATCCAAAGGCACGCCGGGTCGCAGCAAAGCGAGAAATTGCTGGCTCTTTCTCTTCCGGTGTGCCATTGCTGTTTAAGAGGGTCGATCCCGGGAATGCCCAATTTCCACCGTAGCTTAGGCGCCTTTTGGTTTCTAGTCTCGGATCGAAATCTTCCACATTTCTTGGAAAGGACTGACTCTGACTGGGCTTGAGAGATCCAAGAGGAGGTGGTTGATCGGCAAGAGTCTTCCCTCGCTGACGATTGAGGCCGAACATAGATGACATGGACGTATACTTGGGCTTCTTTGGTTGCCGAATCGCCTCATCTTCTTCAGACGGCTCATCTGACTTCTTCCCAGAGTTTGACGACTTCTCGTCGCCTTCGGGAGGCGCAGAAGTTTGCATGGGACTTGAAAACGACCTACCAGAGGAGGAACCAACGCTAGGAGATTCGGTGCGACCGCTATCGGGGTGCAATATGGGCGACCCTATCGTAGGAAAAGGCGTTGTGCCTGTCTCAGTTTTCTCTTTCTGCTGCGGCAAATCTGCTTCGGGAAAATCGTCGGCAGACTCATCACCAAGGAGATCAGCGGGAAGGAGTGAGTCGGCCCGAGGACTCATCGGGATTGAAGATATGGCGTCTGGGTCATCGTGGGTTGAAGGGGCCATCTCCATAGGCATTGCCAGCGTCATCCCGTTCTGCGGGTTGAAATAACTTGGGGCAGTTGCTGTAGGAGAAGAGGTGGGAGCAGAGGTGTACTGCAACCCCGAGGGGAAAGGCTCAGGCCCGGCAAACGGTCCCCGCGGCGAGGAGATGCTGCTTCCAAGAGAACCCGCCGGCCTTGCTCGTCGGATAGGTCTCACTCCCCGTCGAATGGCGTCCATATCCAGCGGTACAATGGGTGCGAATGCCATCGAATTCGCTCGCCGCGCCTCAAGCTGATTTATCTGTTCCCTAGTGTAGTTGACTTGCTGGTTGGCCAATTGCAGGTCGTTCCACAGCCGGGTATAGGTTTGCTGCAGCCCTTCATATTTTGCCCGCCATCTCATATCACGCTCGCGGTCGAGACGATCGGCTTCCCTTGTTTCGTCCGTCTCCTCGTCGGCATTCTGCAGTTTACGTTCCTCTTCCAAAGCTTTGATCTGCAGTGCTTTCTCTTTGTTGTCCTCCTCTAGCATTGCGACCTCCTTCTGTTCCTCTTCAATTTTCCTGCGCATTTCGCGAAGCTCGGACTGCGTTCTGCGTTCAATCGCAGCCTTCTGCTTCTCAATACCAGCAATTTCCTCCTTCATTGCAGCGGTAGCCTCTTCCCACCGAGAGATGTCATCCTTCCTCTTCCTCCGCTGATTCTCCTTCTGCTGTAATAACCGTTCTTTCTTGGTCTTTTCGTTTTGAGCTGTCCGACTGAGCGTCTCCGCCTTGTGCACTTGTTTACGAAGGTCGTTGCTGGCTTCATCCCGCTCTTTGAGACTCTGTTTCAATTCGTCACGGCGTGCTTCCAGCTCCTTCATGGCAGCCTCGAACTCTCGGTCCTCTTCTTGTATCTGAGCCTCGACCGCCTCGATGTCTTGTTGAACTTTTTGGAACCGTTGTGACAACTCGGCAAGATCATCGTCCACTTCTTCCTCCTCGGCTCTTGACCCTGCGTCTTGACCCTGCGCATCGGTGCCATGACCACCCGGAGATGGTCTGCGGCCGGTTGTCCCTCTTCTCCCCATAGGCTGTCCTCCACTCAAGTCGCGGGTCATGGAAGGCGCAGCTAAAGGCGTGGTGGTTGAAGCGTTTCGCACAGAGACCCCTCTGACCGTCGGGACCGATTCGGGTGCGTCCTTCCCCTCGGGAAGATTGGGGGTGCGCACGTGGAAGGGAGCGCTAGGGGTCTGGAAAGTGCCAGTGCTGACGCAGAAGACGCGAATGGCATATTTGGTGCCTGGACGAAGGCCAGATATGACGGCGCCCATCTCGCTCTTCTTCGTGGTCCCGATAACGACGCCATTAAGCTCCACATAGTGCTCTTGGATGGAGGAAGATGGTTCTGCATGTTTCCAAGTCAAATAAATCTCGGACGTGGAGATTTCTTCCAGGATCAAGAGCGGAGCGGGGGGGATGTCGAGGCCAAGTTTCTCTACTAGAATCTCATTCGGTGTCGTGAGGACCTGGTACGCACGCCACAGAAGCCTGGGGAGTCAGCAGCGAGGGCGCAAAATGGTCTTGGAGGGCCTACCATGAGAAAGCCCAGATAACGGCGAGCAACAAAAGCAGAGCCATGCGACCTCTGACGTTAATCTGAGGGGCAAGCAGCTGGTAGGCGTGAGAAGCCCAATCTAATGGCTCTTGATGCCATCTAGATGAGTCCATCCACGATAAGGGGATGGCAGGCATGCGCTCGACAGAAATATGCAAGAATATATCCTATAAATCATGGAGAGCCATTTACGGAGTATTAGGTTTCTTGAAATCAGTGGACGAGCGGAGAAGTTGGCGAGTACCACTGGCAAAGTCGGACGCCGCAGACACAGCGGCTCGGTTCAGCCTTGGCACTCAGCCTTGGCGGATGCTTCGACCTCAACTGCGACTGATACCGCCCAGTGGTCACGTGCATAACTGGAAGGCACGTGCACAGCCGTTGCCCTTCTTGCCCTTGCTCAAGCCTTGCTCTCACCCCTCACCTATTATCACATTTCACTACAATGACCGTGTTTCCGCCGTTGCGCAGCAAGGCAACCTTTCCTATCTTCGCAGCCGTGATAGTAGCGAGAACCTATAGCTTTGGGCTCTGCCTCATCATTCACGTCGGGTAGCCAATCGTCAGCGGAGGTAAGGTTGCTGCCCCTTGCTTACCGTGGCTCAGAAATGGCTTTGAAATGGCAGAGCAGTCTAATTCTCCCCACTCGTTCCTTTCTCTCACTTTCTCATCTCTTGCTTTCCTGGGCCGCGCCAAAGGTCGATAGACACATATATTAAATGCTACTTGACGAATAAGCGTGTCACGACAGGTCTATCGCATCTTGTGTTGATTCGCCATCAAGAATGGACCCTCCTTCTGTGGCAGCCTCATTGTGGGCATTCTTGCGGCTGCTGCCCAGGTGTCTGCATACATCTCTACCCTGGTGGAAAGGAGCCGAAAGGCACCCAAACATATCTGGAAAGTAAAGAATGAAGTCGACACCATTCGTTCTATGCTCCACCAGCTCCAAGCTCTATTACCTGGAAGCGCAAGAACCAGTCGTGGACGCACATCACTGATCTTGGTTGATTAGGTCGTGGTGACATTGACTGCCTATGTCAGTACCTTCTCAGAGTTGGACGTGATGGTGGGAACGTTAGTTTGAGACGAAAAGCTTGGGCCCATAGATCGATTACGGTGGGCTACCAAAGCTGCCGCGATCAATGAGAGCTTGAACAATTTGGAGGTTCAGAAGAGCACATTGACTCTGATGCTCATCATACTGACCTGGTATGTGACCCCTCTCAAATGGGATGTCCTACAAGCTGATTCCTGGTATAGCGAATCCTCGTACAAAGCCGAAGATTCAGTAACCAACCTTGCAGGACTCGTGGAGACCATATTAGCTGGTCACCAAACGCTAGCTAGACGACTACCAACATCGAGATGACCTTGGGACCTACTACCAAGACTGAGAATCCGACCCAAACCGACGACACAGCTTTTTTTAACGATTGGCACCATCACCCGGAATCAGTTCGGTTTCGTGTTCGAAGACGAGTTAAATTGATCCTAGGTGTATCAGCGGGCAGCGCGAAGAGTGGACGCCACATCTTCCATCGTCAGCTCGGCGGGTAAAACAGCTTCATGGCCAATGCTCACTGGGCTCAGCCTGTCGAATATCTCTAACCTCGCCGTTTTGGCCAAGCCGATCTAAGCCGAGGAGATCAGTAACAGAGAATTTTATCAGTTCCGGGAAGTCGATATTGGAAAAGGCTCTGGAGAATTCACTGTTTTCGCTTCGATGAAGTCACCAAAACACTATGCTGTTGACACTGCCAACTCGGCCGACGCGGACTTGAGCCCTATTTTCGAGACTCCTTTGTTATTAGGCATGGCAATCGCTTCTGTTACAACAGGTTCCGTTGGAGAGGGCGGGAAGCTGTTTATTTTGGGCCACATCCCTATTGTTGTTGCAAGATGCTGCGCTTATATAAAGGAAGAAGGTAAGACTTGCTCTATAATCCTGAGCCTGGATGAGCGCGGCTCACCCTATGCCCCGCAGGCCTGAAGACGAAGGAAATTTTCTTTAGATCGGGCTCAGCAACACGGTTACAAGAGCTGGAGAAAATATTCAGCAGCAACACCGACTTTTGCTATTATGGCTCAGAAATCCGATGGCAAGAGTATCAGGTGGAGGATGCTGAAAGTCTGCTCCTCCGTTATTCAAACTGCTGCCGGAGCCAATCATTCCGCTTGATTGCTCCATGGCCTTTGCGACAGTGTATTATGAACTCACCTCAGCAATGGAAGCCAACGAAGGTCGCGACTGGGCCCAATTGGATGTGCTCGAGAAGTCGTTAATCCTGGATACTCTTAACTTTGCCCTTATGAAAACACCGCGCCTAAACCACCATCTGCTGCTGTACTTGGTCGATCTGCTCCAAGCATGTGTTGAGTATTCGGACCTCAACCTCATGACGGTGGATCGGCTAGTCGCTGTTTTTCAGCCTTCCATCCTGTCTCTTGGGCGGAAGAGATGTCAATAGAAGAACACCAAATTGCATATCAGGTCATCGTCTTCATGATCGAGTTCTGGGAGGAGGGACATCTTAGTGAACTCGTGAACATGAGAGGAGAACTGCCCTGGAGGTCGCCAAAACCCATTAACCAGGTTTTCAAAAATCCAAGAAGACCACCAAGTACCGGTCAAGATTTTTCAGGACCAGATTGGATCTGAGAGTGGAACTGTCCACAGCTATTTCACAGGTTATCCCGTTGGCGTTGGTGAATCGTTCTCAACGAGCTGTGGGGTGGAGCACAGGGCTGCATCACCCTCGTCCCAAGGGGGGAGAGTTCAGATGTACAATAGTGATGGGTAGCCCACAACCAATATCAAGAGGCACCATGACGAATTAAATTGGCCATCAAGATGTAGGTTTTAAGGTTATAGGCGAGTTGCTTTTTGCTCCATGTATGAAAGCTACCACACACAGTACGGCCCTCCTCCCAACCACCGACTGAAATTCTAAGGGTATCACATTAGTCCAGAGCGCCGTTCACATGCCATAATACACCGTTTGTAATGCCCATGCTATGATATTCCCCAGTGTCCGAGTCATCCTACGACAGGTCCACATCTCCATCTGCGTCCGCTTCTTTATCTCCGCCTCCGTCGTCGGGACCAAACACATCCTCCATTGTGCCCAATCCTTCCTCATCTTCGTTTCCTTCCTTGTCATCCACCTGCATGAGGTCTTCCGGTTCAGGTCGCTCTCCTTCCTCGGGCTGATCGACACTCTCCTCGCCTTCGCTGTCCCATTCGTCCTTCAGACCCCAGCCCACGCCGGTGAGGCAATATTTTTCATGTGGAAGTCGGACGCCTCCAATCATGGGTCCCCCTTTGTCGCCATCCCTCACCCGCGGCTGTAGTGATATTCGATTTCTCTCGTCCGCCAACTGCTTCAGAAACTCCTTTGGCAGACTCCCCTGGAACTGGTACCCCATCCTCGAGCCTATTGACATGCGCAGAGCCGCGAGGCTTACGTCTCCTTCTTCGCTTTTGTTTTGATTTTGCTTGGCGCCCCGACCTTTGGTCTGAGCACCTCCATCTGCTTGGTCGTAGGCCTCATTTTGAATATGTAAGGCGTCACTGAGCACAGAGCTAGTGTATCGGTAGGCAAAATCCATGAGCTGGAGGGGAACGCGCTGCTGGTATGCTGCGATACCGTGAGACACGAGTAGGAGATGGATCAATCGGTGATCTCGCGGTCTGTTTGAATTTCCATCGTCTGACAGAGAGGTCAAGGGCTGAGAGAGAAGTGCTTCAACTTGGGGCTGTGCTGTCGCTTGGGAGGCCTGTGCAGACTGAGGTACTTGTGATGAGGGTTCTGCAGGGGGGGTGAGAGGACCGGGAGGGTTTGCGGGCGAGCTCATGTTGGCTTTAGAGAGGATGAAAGTGTGAAGGAGACGGAGGAGGCTGCGGAGGTGTTGAGTGACGGTACGTCAAGATTGTCGCACCATAATACAGCGACCAAGGATGGAAGAGTGAGACAATATCTGTACTGTCTCTTCAGGGTATTCCTGGGTGCGGGAGCGAGGTGCAGTGCTGAGAAAGTGATATGGATCGGAGTGTCGGTTGGCCACAAATCGCAAGGTGGGAAAATCTGGGGAAAATAGAGATATTCAGTAATATGCCTAAAACAGACTAGTGGCTGGCCCGACAAAAATGCTGTCATGCATCGTGCTGAATGACCCGATTTCCTCATCCTCTTCCCCATCCTTAGTATCCCACCCCATCCTTCCTCTCGGCCATTCCACACTTCCTTTCTTTCCACTCTCATTTTGTTCTTATGTGTTCCTAGAAACCCTCTGTATAACACTCTGTTGAGCTGCCAGCACGTACCTTTGAGATATCAGCATTACCTCTGCGTGGCGTTGTCGAGCATTCCCCGTTTCCAGTTCCGAGTTTCGCCTTCCCCAACCATCAGGCTCCCAACCATCATGTGCTAATTCCGGAGACCTCACATTTTCATCATATCACCGAGAACCCAGCACCTACACCAATCTCTCGAAGTTTTCAATACCTCTCACGATGCAGTATGTTCGAAGTCTAGGGAACGGTGTCTCCAAGACGTGGAATTCCATCAACCCGGCAACCTTGTCCGGAGCCATCGATGTTATTGTGATTGAACAACCCGATGGCTCTCTGGCCTGTTCCCCTTTCCATGTCCGTTTTGGCAAGTTTTCTCTGCTGCGACCCTCGGATAAGAAGGTTGAATTTAAAGTCAATGGGGTCACGCAGCCTTACGCCATGAAACTTGGGGATGGAGGCGAAGCTTTCTTTGTCTTCGAGACAACGGATGAAATCCCCGAGGGGTTGCAGACATCTCCTTTAGTTTCTCCCGCCAGCAGTCCGCCTATAAATGCTGCGGACAGACCTCCCTCACCTGGTCTCTCTGAACCTTCCTACTTGGATATCACAGAGGCGGCGAAGGGTCGTAATACTCCTCCCATTTCATCTTCCGCTCCTGTTCCCATAATAAAACGAGAAGGAACGAACGTCAGCGAAGAAATCGATCTGGGCACCGTTCACACCGATCCAACTGGAACACCTTTATCCGATACGACTCTGACCGCTCCTGCTTCATTGGGGCGCGCGGCATCAGAAGAAATTCTCCCCTTTGCTACACGACAGCGACTGGATTCGGTGAGCGGAGCTTTTCACAACAACGGCATACCTCCTTCGCCCAAATTTGGTCCGGATGGGACTACTACGCCAAAAGCATCCGCAAGTCCTCCTGCTTTGAAACCAAAACAAGCATATGACCGAGCAATGACCCTCTCCAAGAAGCTATCTTCTTCCAATATTCGATCTCAGGTCACCGAGTCCGGAGATCTTATGCTTGACATGACGGGTTATAAGACGAGTGAGCCGGAAGCTTTGCGAGCAGAGGCCGTGGCTCGGAAAATCCTCTCCGAGGAACTGGAGGGAAATTATGATATTGGCTCCTTAATCGGAACCGATGAGCACGGAAATCTGTGGATATACAGTAGCGAGGAAGCTCGAGATGCCGCTGCTCGAAAATGGGCATCTCAGAGCCTTGAAACAACGACCGCGCTTTCGTCGGATAACATCTCTGATCCCGGCTATCACAGTGACAGCGACCGTAGCACCTCGCCGCAGCTTACAGCGAAAAATGTTGGTCATCAACGGGCACAGTCTGAAGAGATTCCGCCGCCTCGCACGTCGGGAGAGCAGGCTCGAAATTTCGCGAAGACGCTCCGGCTGACGAGCGATCAACTCAAATCGCTCAACCTCAAACGAGGCGAGAATCAAATGTCATTCACCGTTAATCGCGCCACATGTATAGCTTACATGTTTTACTGGACGTGTGACGTTCCAATTGTTATATCGGACATTGATGGTACAATCACCAAATCGGATGCTTTGGGTCATCTACTCAATATGGTTGGGCGCGACTGGACGCACGTTGGGGTTGCAAAATTATACTCGGACATTGTTGCCAATGGCTACAATATCTTTTATCTGACGAGTCGCTCTGTTGGACAAGCCGACACAACCCGGACCTATCTTAGTGGCATTACACAAGAAGGTTGGAAACTCCCTCGAGGCCCAGTTATCATGAGCCCCGATCGTACGATCGCGGCATTGCGGCGAGAGATCTACCTGCGGAAACCGGAAGTTTTCAAAATGGCCTGTCTGAGAGATATCCTCAACTTGTTCCCTGGGAAGACAAACCCATTCTACGCCGGATTTGGCAACCGCTTCACTGATGCGCTGAGTTACCGCAGCGTCAACATTCCGTCGACACGGATCTTCACGATCAACACGAATGCAGAAGTGTCACTCGATTTGCTGACGCTGAACAAGTACCGCAGCAGCTATGTGTCGATGCGTGAATTAGTTGACCATTTCTTCCCACCCGTATCGACGCTGGTCAGGGAGGGAGGAGAGGAATATACTGACTTTGCGTACTGGCGAGATACGCCGCAGGACCTGGAAGATTTCACGCCGACTGACTCAGAAGAGGAGGAAGAGGAGGAAGAAGACTTGGAAGATGAAGAGGACGAAGCAGAGGTTGCATCTGACAACGAGATGGGCGACAGCTTCATCTCGCGAGAGAGCATGGATGACTCTGCGCTGAGCGAATCAGTCCGAGAGTCGATTGAAATAGACGACGCAGCTGACATGCTCGATTCTTCAAGGATCGGCACAGGAGACCGACATGGCGAGCAGGACTTTACCGACGATTATCTGGGAGATATTCCAGAACGGTCGACCAGGCTAAACACCGTGTAGAGGTTCACCACGCACTCCTTAAGTGGCTGGTGGCCTAATTATTCTCCGATGTACGGTATTAGGCGTCCGTCCTTCCGATGTTTAACCGAATCCGTTACAGGTACGCACTCTGTCTGCTCGTCGTGGGCGACAAATGAAACTAGTGCCACCAGATTGGCTTCAAAGGGATTTAATTACGAATAAGCAAGTATCAATGGATAGGTGCGACCGGAAAACTTCCCCTATATCACGGTGTCACGGAGCCACCGGAGCGATCTCAATGTAATATGAATTCTAGTATGAAGGAAGGCTAACTAACAAGTGCGACGACAAGGTCTCCAAGGAGCGAGCCGAAGCTTCCTGAGTCAGGTATACCATGGGGTTTGAGTTCCATGACTCAATGAAAGTCACATGCACACCATGTCATTGCGTTTGCCATCTGGCCGATCGAGCTAACTCCTCAACTTCCCATTCTATCTTAATTTGTGGTTATCAATCGAGCTGGTAGATACCTATTTCGCCGTGCCACTTATTCCTGATTGATACCTTTACGCCCATTTAGCTAATATTGACTGCAGGTTGCTAGGAGGTCTCAGTGTTGGATATTAGGCACCTGTGACTAGGAGTGCTCTGGCGACCTCGTCGTCATAGGCCTTGGCCTACGTCCTGCGTGACGACGTTGATGTTGCAATATTGTAAAGCCTCGTCGGGATCCTTGCAACCCTGTCCAACATTACCCATTCAGGACAACCTTATCTGTTGACCTAGTAAACCCTATCTAACTAGGCAACTGAACCTATTGTCTCAGGTGCCTATTCCTACTAGCGATTCGCCTATCTCAGGTGCCTACTTATTGCCTATAGATGACTGTAAATGACCGGTCTTCAGAAGGCTACAAGAGAGGCCAGGTGCCAGGCGGCTCTATGTGTGTATGTGTATGTGTGTGTGTGTGTATGTGTGTCTATTAGCAGACCATGCGAGAGTTGAGAATGTAAGTTAGCAACTTATATAGGCCCTAGGAAGATTAAAATAAGAATAAGTCTACCCAGCATGGCGAAACTAAATTACGATCTCGAGGGAGGCTCGTGAGGACTTTGCTAGGTAGAAGCCTCTTCCTCTGGATGCTATGAGGTCTAGTGTCTACCAGTCGGAGCACAGTACATATGATGTCACGTGTTAGCCGGCATAGGCGCTAAGCAGTGGCATTACTAAATGACATAAGTAGTTAAGCGAAGCTTTTCAAAATGACAAAAAGGTTCTGTTGACCTGCCCAAGCGCATTAGTCATACTACCCTTACCATAGAATGTGAGCAAGCTACGATTTTTGCACCAAGACGAGTTGAAGAGGTGGGACTCTAAGTCATTGCATCATACAACGACATAGTAGCCGCCACAGATGCGCCCCTCATGTCTTAAGAGTCGGACATAAATAAGACTCAACCCATTTCTCTGCAAGTGTCCATCCTCCAGCGTCGGCACCCTCTTCATCTACGCCGCACCCTCTCCGCCTACGTCTCCGGTCTCCTTTTTAGTTCCAATACCATCGTGATTAGCAGATTTAGGAGAACGCTAGATAAACCTATTGTTGCCGTGTAAGAGAGTATTATAGAGGGGGAGCCCGACTAAGCAGTCCGGGCAGATTAAAGGAGGAGCCGAATTAAGATCCCTCAGGATTCTAAACGGATCCCATCGTCTAACGTCAACAAACGTTTGAGTTTTCAATGAGGAGGCACGGCGAGGCGCAGGGAGCGCTCAGGGCAATCGCTCAGGGAGCAGAGGGTGAGCGGAGAGTTAGCAAAGCGACGAGCAGCTTAGGCGACGGATTTTTCGTGTATACTACCTCGGATACTCGTGATAGGCTCAGCAGGCAACAGCCTAGCCCGGAAAGGGGCCTCATGAATGCGTTAAGTATAGCCGAGCGGGAGGGTGCGGAATATGGCCCTTCCGAGCTTTAAAACATACCAAGTGCTTGGTAGAAAACTGGGAACCCGGGGGCCAAGTTATGGGCCCATTTCACGCACTCGGAGTTATGCTCGGGCTGCTTAGGGCAAGCCTCAGGGCTCGCTAAGCGGTATTCAGGATCCCACAGCCACAGCTCCGAATGACTTAGTCACGACTCACGTTGAGTGACGAGATGCTCAGGTCTCGAAACGGAACTGAACTTTGGAAAGGTCAAGATTAGCCGCTGAGTATTATTGTATAGGCTCATAGTCGAGGCCTAGAGGGGCCCCCCTGAGCCCGAACTGGCTTCTGCAAATGGGCATTACGCAGCGTTCTCCGTGGCTCGCCCGGTGCTCGGGCGCGCTTCCCCGTACTCTGCTGTGACTCCCCGCGACCTCTCCCGTGCTCGAGTAAAGCGGCCTCGCTCCCTTACCTGAACGAAAAGGGTAAGGGAAAAAGTACAGTTCGGGGCATATAATATATATATATATAACCTTTTCTCCAAGATACTCATAAGCTTGTCATAGCGACCGGTAACAGTGACTGGTAGAAGTGTGAGTGAGTGGATGAAGGGATGTATTAATCACGGTCGAATGCGAGATCCTTTTGACCTTTGGGATGAAAACCCCTTCTGCAGCAGTATTAACTATCTGCACTACTAGTAATAGTTACAACAAATTAGGACTCCCTGGACTACGTACCAAGTACCTGTAGGAATGGCAGTCTGAGACTCGTGGTCTAGCGCATCTCAAACGATGGATGCGGGAAATTAGCCAGGAGTCTCTCCCGTCTGTGCTGATACACGCCGCCAGTGCCATCCCTCCGGCCCCCTATTCTCTTCGGGCGCACTAATAATACGGGTGATAACAATGAAGAGACCAGAACCGCCCACCCCTTTGGGTTTCAAGATTGAGTTTCGCCTCCGCGTTCCTGAGTTTGAGCTTTGGAGGAGCTGAGGTGAGGTGAGGCAGGGAGAAGGTAAATTCGCCTCGCTCGCGGCCCTGCGGGTGCTATGTATCCTATGTAGTTGAAGTCGATGCGCTCTTTGTTCGTTTCCTTTCAATTTCACAACCACAACCACAACCACAGCTACGAAAGACTTTCTCATCCTTTGTACTGAACAATCTACATAACACGCTTCCGTTACATAACATACATACCCTCCCAAAAAAAAGCTGAGCAACGACAAATCGGTTCCATCCATCAACTCCCTGCTCCCCCCTACGTCGACGTCGACGTCCAGTCTCCCGAAGTATTTCCGCACGTTGAGCGAAACATCAACAAACAACACCAACACCGCAACCCCGGAACGAGATTCCAACAGAAGAGACCAAAATAAGCAAGACGGATTACAAACGCAGGGAAAGAAGAGGAGGGAGAGTGGGAGAGAAGAAATAAAAAAGAGGCAGGGGAAAAAGGAAAAGATAAAAGGATGGGGCACTTCCAATTCCACACGCTGTTACTGTTGAAGAGGGATAAGTGCGTCAACCCGAACCCCGACGTCGACGTGTGCGAGAAATACACGAGCCAGTTCCTGACCACGGGTGTACCGTTGATTATTAGCCTATGGTATGTATGGAAGACCGAGGATATACATAAACTGCGCCCGGAAACCCTCTCTGCCTCCCCTTCTCCCTCTCCCTCCGCCTCTCTGACCCGACTGACTGACTGACTAACGCAATAAACAAACAGCCTCTTCATCATTCTCGCCATTGTCCTCTTCATCATCGTCCGCCGCAAGCGCCGCCAACGCCACGCCCAAGAGGCTGAGAAGAACCGTCAGATCGACGACGACAGCAACGACCTCGAGCTCGTCGTCAACAGCACATCGTACCCGCGGGATCAGGCGTATAAGCATTTCGAGGCCAATGGCGGCGGCGGCGGCGGTGGCGGCCAACAACGGTACGGACAGGGGCAAGCGCCGGGAATGGGAGTGGAAAATCCGTTCGAGACGGATGTCGAAAGAAGGACTGGTCAAGACGTGGCGTCGGTGAGACGATAACACTAGAATTGAAAGGGAGGGCAGCTTTTTTTCTCGTAAAAGAAACAAGAGGCGATTTCGTTATGCGGTTCAGGTTTGTGTTCTTTTTTGCTTGAAATGCAAACCGGACACCCGGACAAAATGAACAATAAATGGCATTGCAAGTTGACAGCCATCGTCAACGTCATGATTATCATTTAGTGCTTGTTGGGAAAACTCGACGTTTGGGTATCATCATCAACAGTCCTCGATCGACACGTCTCTCCCCATGCCCGAAACAACCGGCTATGCCTCCACGACTGCAACAGCGCCACCACCACCCGTGACCCCTTCCTTTACTTTCGTCCTCATACAGGAATGGCACGCTAGGCCTAGGCAGACCCCTCAGCAGCCTTCTCGGCACCCTTTCCCTTCTCGATCTCGTGGATGATGTCCTTCTCAATGCTCTCGGGCTTGGTCATGGATCCCCAGCGGTGGACGACGGAGCCGTCGCGGGCGATGAGGAACTTTTCAAAGTTCCACTTGACGCGCTTGAGGCCGAGCATTCCCGGCTTCTCGGCCTTCATCCACTCCCAGACGGGCTCGGCATGGTCGCCGTTGACGTTGGTCTTGCCCAGCACGGGGAAACTGACGCCGTAGTTGACCTGGCAGAACTCCTGGATCTGCTCATTGGAGCCCGGGTCCTGCCCACCGAACTGGTTGCAGGGGAAACCGATCACCACGAACTGGTCCGGGTACTTGGCCGAGATGTCCTTCCACACCGTCTCGAGGCCCTTGAACTGCGGCGTGAACCCGCACTTGGAGGCTGTGTTGACCGCCAGCACGACTTTGCCCTTATGTTGTGCGAGCGGGTAGTCTTGGTCGCGCTTGTCCTTGGGAGTGAAGTCGAAGAAGCTCGTTGCGGAGGACATTGTGGGCAGCGGGGCGGGGCCGGGTAGAGGGGGTGATGAACTCGGAGGGGGGTTGCTCGCAAAGTGACGATGTTGGTGGTGCCGACAATTGGCGACGGCTGCGCTGTTGCTGCAATTGATGAAGTGACGACGAGTCAAGAGAGAGAGTTGCGCAGCAGGAGATCTTAAGCTCGAGGCTGCGGTCTTGT